CAAATCGCGCTGCTCTAATCGCGCTTGAGGCGCCGCAGAACTTCCCGACGTTGCTTGAAGCGCSTCCACCATAGACTTTGCATGTAAACCTGCTGCTCCTGACGCTGAAATCGCGTTTGGTGTGAACGCACCATTAGACTTAATCCTCGTTTCAATATGATGGGTCACATTTATTATTGCATTCTATATAAGCTACAGCAAAATTATGATAAAAACTACCCTAAAAATGAACAATTTTAATGGTTTGAATAATTTAAATTCTTTGAATAACATATATTTTTAAACTCTGATCATAAGAAAAGTGCAATTTGCAGCAAAATGACAGTACAGTCAACAAAAACTCCCAAAAATCTTTGTGCGCTCTYTTTTTCTTCACTCTTTATTATATTTTTCCTCACTTTCATGACTTACTGCAACTCATTCTCACTTTGTTTTGTCACTTATATCCAGAAGTGAATAAGTAGTTTTTGCTCAGGGTCTGGCTCATATTGTTCTCTTGCTCAGTTCATGCAATTTAATCAACAAATTCCAAACAAATTGAAACAATATTTTACTGTACTGTACTTGTATCCCAATGTAAGCAGCGTATTTTATTTATTTATTTTTTGTCTGTGCACSACCTGTGTAAAATGTCCCACCTGTGTAAAATATCCCACCTGTGTAAAATGTCCCGGTTCATTAAATCGAGCGCACCAATCCCCACTGTGTTTTAGAAGTAGATGCGCATGTGCGCTGTATCAAGTCTCCTGTCATAAGTTCTGAACCGGACCGGACCGGACCACACTGCCTCACCCCTGCTTGTTTCCCCGTCCCTCTGGGCTCTGGTGTGTGTGTGTTTGAAGTGTGCCGACTCAACTCGGGCGGGAGCGACAACCAGGAAGCGGGGGAATGGGAGGGACAAACTCACTACTCCTTGTGTTCAGCTTCAACAGGAGCAGAGTTAAGCACGTYATTCAGAAAGAAAGACAAGCCCAAAATAAGCAACTCACGTTCAAAAATAAGCCCAAAAAAAYCGCAACCTGCGACTCATGGAATTTACAAGGGACTTAAGACAAAAAGAAGCCCACAGTCACTTATAATAAGCGGACCTGGAAACACTGATTAACACGTTAAGCTCACCCTGCTTGTAAACAGAAAATAATTGGGCTTGTTTTTATTCAATTTTAATCACAKTTAGAGCAGCTTAAGATTTCAGCTTTTCATATTTTATTTATTCAGTTATATATTCTATAAACTTATTTATGTTGTGTTGGCTGGAAAGTCATTAAAATTTTATAATTGAAGCAGCCATTAAAACTAGGTTTCTTTCGGTGCAAAAGTTACATCTTTCTAGTAAAACTGTACACAGTGAGTGGCTTGTTGTGTGTTCATTCGTTTTATTTTTGTGCTCAGAAAAAAAAAAACCACTAGTAAGTATTAAACTGCGTGCTGCGTTCAAGGACACTTTAAAGGGGGAAATGGCAGGTAATTTACTGCTCAGAATCTGTGATAGGACCGTTTCCGTAATGATCAAGCCGCCCCCTGCCTCATAATGTTAAGTTTTGCTGAGGAAAATAGTAATGGCTCACTAACGCAGGTTAGCCACAGCGCCAGGTCTCTCATTAAGTCTGGCAGGATCCAAGTCCCGTGGCATTGCTAGCTGTCATTAAACTTTAATCACTGGAATGAGTTTAACACACACACATTGTCAGAGCTACAYGTGGACCTGAAGTGCACGGGCACACAGACAGGGCTAATGTTTGTAACAGCTTGTGGCTGTGGTACGGATGAGAATATGAATCAGYAGTCTTTTTCCCTGTGATCAAAGCCTAATGTGGGAGCTTTATTCTCCTCATGTCTCCTCGGGAGGCAAACACAGAGCGCCTGCAGGTTAAAAGTGAAACCTGTTTGCATGTTAACAGGCAGGCTTACGGTAAATCTCCAGCACGACCGAGGCCTCCTCGGTGTGACCGCTGGCGTCCGTGACCTGGCAGCGGTAAATCCCCGCGTCTTCGATGATGGCGTTGTAAATGATCAGCTTGGACCGCGACGTCTCCGTGTGGAGGGACATTCGCCTGGAGGACGTGATGCGCTCACCCTGCGGGTTGAACCATTCCAGCTTTACGGGCTCACCGATGGCTGGGGAGAAATAAAGAAAAAGACAACAAAATAAATGTGATGAATGTGTTTTTAATCATCACTAAGTGAATCAGGAACGTGTGAAAGAAATTGTTTTCTTTGTTTTGCTTGAATTCATTACCCTGGGACAGTACATTTATCATAATTATTTCCAAAGAACCAGTTTTTTTCTCTTACAGTGGAGGTATACTAACAGCTTCAGCAAACATGACAAAATTATTTTTTACCCCCAAAAAGCCTGATTTCATTTAGTAATTTGAACATTAAATTTGACATGCCACTTTACACATTTTTTGTTTTAGTTAACTGTTTGCTTTAGCTTGCTAAGCTAAGCATTGTTGCTGAAACTAGGGCCACGTTCACACAGCAGGCCTACAAGTAGACATGTAATGCTTTTAAATCCTTTCCCCCTTTTAAATTGTTCAGTAGGGGTCTATATAAAGTGAAATTGCAATGATTTGGTCTGAATTCCTCCTTATTGTAACTCCATAAGCCCCTCTTTCATTTCTTTTCTGAGGTGTGTYTCAGATCAACTCSTTTTGAAGCTGTCTCTTTAAATCCAAACCAGGTGCCTCACACTTCCCCTCTCTCCAGCTTCCAGATGATCCATTCTAGTTTGTTAGTGGGGTTTACGGCTATATAGTGGCTGAAAACTATTTATTTACAATCTGATTGAAGGATGTAAACATGGGAAGACTTGTCCATCCAGCCTTACATGTTGGACCCAGAGTCTGACCCAGAGAAGAGAATGAAGACGACCAAATTGTAGTTGGTGAGTCCAAACCTTATTTGGCAGTTTTGACACAAATACTATGACATAATAGTTCAGAAAGCATTACAGACAACAGAGAAAACTGAATGGGTTGAAAAACATGACCCAAACAGAAAATAAAGATATCTCTGCAGCACCAGGAGAGACTAAATTCAACTTTTCTGKACTCCTAGAGACTCCAAGTACACAACAAAATGTATTTACTGTAATGGCAAAATAATTCAATTTTGCATGACATGCCCCCTTTAATTGGCCTTTATAAAGTTATTGCATGAAATCAGACACCACACTCCCAAATACATTCAAAGCTATTATTTTCTATTAACTTTTATATAAAGACTTATTTATAACCAGTGGTGGGCAGCACTAATCTAAAAATTAGTTCCACTAGCCCTAAAACACTAACTCAAATATTTAGGTCCCCTAATTAAAAAGCACTAATGCACTGAAAGTTTTAGCAAAAGCTAATTCTAAAGCACTAAAATAACCCAGTCAACCCATGAACATTCTTCAACAGACAACATGAGCCACATGTTGTCATGTTGCTCTGTTAAGACTTATCATTGACATTCCACAGCTGTGTTTGAGTTCATATATTGTCACCTGTAGATAAGTGACACAAATATGAACAAAATACGCGACAGCTTTAACCCTCAGCTGTTAACATTAATGTTGATCAATCACATTTATAGACCTCCGTTAGTGCTTCTAAATTTAGCCTTTAAATATAGCAAGTGCTAATCCACTAATACATTTTAAAATTAGCAAAAACCCTAAAGCACTTATCGGGAAATTAGTTCCCCTATTAGTGCTTTAGTGTTTTAGGGGAACTGTTCCCACCACTGTTTAATTTGCTTTACAATGTTGTTGAGTGTGTACTATGTGTAGTTATCAATGCATGCTTCCATACAATGACCCATCACACATAAGACACACCCAGTATGTTCAATATCAAATTTGTTCCCAATTCTTATTTTATTGTGTGGTCATTCACATTATACCTTAAACTACAGCTACCATCAGATCCCAGTGTCCAGTGTGAACAGTCCACAGCACTAAAGTGACCAACGTGTGGAAGAAGACATGACGTCACACGCTGCACACTGTGTTTACAGAACTACATACGAACGCTACACATTAGCCTGTGTGTAAAGATTTTGAATTACACTTTAGTAACAGGTGTGACGTAATGAGAGTAGAAACAAACTCAAGTATCGGTCCCACCATGCTAGTTCCAGGATCCACCAAGTTGGATCAAAGTTGGTGTAAATACTCTGTCATCCAGGACATGACACGTTTAGATGACAAAGCAACTCTGTTTACTGCTATCTCAGTGACGTAAAAGTCAGATTAGATATGACATTCAGACTGCAGTCGCTTAGAAAAACATTGGATATATATCCATTTTTAAAAGGCCTGAGGAAAAMCCTGGGTTGGATTTTAAAAGAGAGAGAGAGAAAACGGGTTTAAAGATGGGCTTAAAGTTCTGTACAAAACTTTTAAACCATTCTTAAACTTGTACTTCTCCTCCAAACAGCCAGACGTCCTTTTTTAAGCACATTTAATTGATATTTATTTGGACTATGGCTTTTTTTCTATTTTCAGTCCAATGCTTGTATCTGACTAAACATTCAGTGAAGTGTGTGCTTAACAAAAAGAGTGAAATGGATAGGTGGAGGTCAATACAAGACATGTGCAGCATTAAAGAACTTGGTTGGTGCTCAAATACTACATTCTGCAAACATTGTGTTTGTCTGAACTAAACTGAAAAAACAGATTTTGCCATTGTGATGTGCAGCTAGAAATAAAATGGCTAAAGATTTAAATTAAAATAGTCTTTTTACTCAGTTGTTAACAATGGTGGTTCATCCCTTCAATTTTGAATCATTTTTATAACTGTGTGATTCACAAATTGGAGTGATGTAGCTTAAAAAATTAAATTGTCTGAAACTGGAATTAAACTAAAAATATGAGTAAAAGCAGCAAAAACACAAAGACCAACCTAAAAGGTCTTGCTAAAGACCACTTTCAAATATATATAAACCAGTTTGGCTCCTCAAAGCAAAATAAGAAAATGTGAGGCAAATTTTRCACAAAGTAGATAGTATAATTTATTGAAATATCTCTTATGCTACTGTGTCTGAGTCATTATATATAAATATTTACACAGAAATGAGTGATCAAGAGCTATGGGATTATGCATTCTGTAAAACAAGAACTCATCTGACTATTCTGGGAGATGACAGAAACATCTGCATGTAACAGGTGCTCCTTGTCTGCGAGGTCTGCTAATAAAAGTGTGACTGTGGAGGGCCATTATCAAACTTATCAATCWGCAAAGGCTTTTAACAAGGCAGCAGATGGGTTTGTCTAGTCACCCATAGAGACATGAGAAATTCAAACTTTAGAAACACAAATGCTGTACTGAGAGCAAAACTTTAAACTTTAGAAGCAAAGACCTGAAGCTCCTGCTCCACAGTGTCCCTTAGCTWAACAAGGGATGACCCTTTAGGMAAAAATAATCCTCAAWYWGGATTTWTCTTCAAATATTCAAACCTGAATATTTATTCATTTTCACAGGTCCAATGGACAAATGTAGAGAAGGGATGCCTGTTTTTTGGCAGTGAAGCTGAACTCACCTCTAACTTTAAAATCCTTTCAAAATGAATAATACAGACCAATAATTTTTTTGGATAAAAAAAAACGTTTCAACAAAGAAGAACCCATAGATGACCTGACTCAACCTTTCAAAACTAGACACCACATATCGGTAACATAATGACCCCAGCACGCACAAATGCACCAGAACTCAGAAGTCTTTATTCCTAATAAATGTCATGCAACTAGGTGCATCCCAAAATTGTAGTGGTTTGGATGGGGGTCCTTTTGGGGGGCGGGAATTGGTTGACCTGATGGATAGCCCCTCATCAGAGCTAAACAACCAACAAAAATCTGAAGCTCCTATGTTTAATAGTTTTTGAGCTATAGCCATTTGTTTATGTCCAGATACCCCTTTTTTCAGATAAATTGGGGATGGGGGTGGACACTGATGGATAGAGCTTCATCAGAGCTAAACAACAAAAGAAATTTAAAGCTCCTATGTTGAACAGTTTCTGAGTTAKAAGAATTTTTGCAGGTCTAGACACCCCCTCTTTGGATGAAGCCCCCTCCTCAATAGTGGAGTGTATGGTCAAACCATTGGCTGGCGCAGTGTAGGTCGGACTCATCTACAGTCCTGCCAAATTTCATGTTGATTGGTGTTGGTGCAGCCATTTTTGTGCTACGGTTGACCAAAAATTGCTGAAAAAAAAAACAGTACGAAAACAATATGGCTCTTGCTTACGCTTTGCGTGCGGGGGTCATAACAAATTATAACAGCAGAAGAAAAGATGCTAAGAAGAAGATATTTTTTCTATGCTTCTTTTGTCTCATGATTTTGTGTCAAAAAAAAAAAAGATATGGTGTGTCATTACCAAGCGCTACTTTAAAAATATTTCATCCATTAAAAAAAATCCCGACAATCCCTAAGCTAAAGCCATAACCTGTTGCAGCAGCACATGCACCTAAATGACAAATGCATTTAATTTAAAAAAATCAGGTTCCAAGTCACACATCCCATTCTTGACATGTTTATCTGCAACAAGTTCTGAACACGGATCTTTAGACTCCCCTWTTCTRCTCCATGTGGGCTCTTGCAAAAACCAGATAAAGAAGAAACAGATAAAGGCCTAGCATCGCTGCGGGCGCCTCTTTCTACCTGCTACCATCACAATGTTATCGCCTCTCTGCATTATCCACTCTTTTGACAGCGTGCRCACTTATACATTTAAAGCTGATGCAACCAGCATGGAGACAGCCCATTTGAATCAAAGATGATCGGAGAAGACAGCAGTGTGCGGCGCATCGGCCTGTTTTGCACACTCWGGCCAGCCTCCCCCTGCGTTTTCTTTACATCTGCATGAATAGTTGGTCTTCAAATCTGCATAAGCTCTGGTGCGGTGACAAGTTCTTGGCGAGGAAAAGTAGTTACTGATTAAAGGTAGAGTGGCAAGACAATGATGACCACTTCTCTGGTGCGAGCAGAAAAAAACCTACACAGAGGGAGGCCAATTGATTAGCCCTGACAGGAGATAAAATTGTCAGATCCGGTGTTCTAATCTGAAGTTTGCAGTGTGGATGGAAACACAATCAAGAAAACCCTGAATTAAAATGCTGAAGGGGTTTCTTC